AACGCAGGAAGCTCCAATCATGAAAGTTATACAAAGGTCCGAGGAAGGGCCCAAATACACGCAAGCTCCTTAATAGAAGTCTATCTTATACAGCCTAAAGGGGCCATCTACACCAAGACTAATAGGGACCCCTAGGTACCCGAAAATGACCTACATCTGGAGCAGTGCCCACGGAGGCCCCAGAACTCAATGCATGATCTCTGAACAACTCGGGGGACTTCTATAGCCCCGGCCCATCAAATCGATCCAGAGTTGTTCTGAAGTACGACGATGGGATCGAAAAGAACCCATGTCGATCGGCAAAAGATCAGAATAAACACTTACGTCCAAGCTAGATATCAACAATTAACAACACAAAAGGAGGCATTCGAAGAGTCTCAAAGGGCATGAAACCATACAGAAACAAAGCAAATTCGAAAGCAGAAATCAACAAAGTTCGTTTCTTATTCATAAAATTTTGTGTACAAACGACCCTCGAGGGGTTGTTACATACAATTACAAGGGCCTATGGAGGATTTCTACGTCTAAAGGAAGAGGCAAAGAGATGCACACGCAAAGTGAAGACCTGGAGACCGATACACCTCCGAAAATCCACAGCAGGCCCCTGCGGGCATGCATCCTCGGAAGTTTCGTCCCAACCTTCATCACTGATACCCCAAGGGACAAGGTGAGTGACAGGAAGGGATGAAAAAATTCCATAGCTCTCCGAAGCTCGAGGACCTTCTTTGGCCAAAGAAGCCTCGGAGAGACAGCGGACCGAAAAATCCTCAGTCCCGCTTGCACGGCTACTTTAGATCCACTCCTTGTAACGTCCAGCCGTGCAAGCCCCTGAATCGGAGAAGAGCGCCACATCGAGCCGGGGTATGAAGGTGAGCAGCGATGTATAGTCCGAGCCCCCTTTTGAGAAGCAGTGCATAATCCGAACGACTGTCTACATAAGAGAGGTACCAACCCCCCGCCCATCATCACCTCGGGCCAGCAGCAGCAACAAGGGCCTGCATACCGATGACCGTAGCAATAGCAGGACAACACACTTATGTTTGACGAAAGGGGACTCTAGCAGAAAGCCACAATGCAGTCTAAAGGTACTCCTCCATACGACCTTAAAATCATGAGCTCGTAACATGATACTCTAAGGTGAAAGAAAAAAAGAGGAAGGGAAAGGCGAACAAGCCAGCGGAAGCATGGTAATAGGAGAAACAAGGCCAAGGAATCCTCTTTTATAGGGGATTACGACACGGTCATATAGGCTGTGGAAGGCTGACCGACGGGCACAGTTAATACGTCCATGGAAAAACGAAACGGTGGCGGTGCCTTTACCTTGAAGAATGAGAATCAGGAGCGCAATGAACGACATCGAAAAGCATGAGCCAGGAGTGGCATCATCGGCATGGCGTCGCCAAAAGAAGCTCAAGAAGTCAAGTGTCAAAATCATTTCCCATCTCTTCAATATGGAAAACGCGGAGACTATCTGTACGCGGCGAAATTGGAAGACTCAATTTCTCGCTATCAGGACATTTCAGAAGCATATCATGGGTCTTGAGAGCAGGAGGTCGCGACCGAGCTCTCAACCTCGGGGCTCGTCGAAGCCCGACTCAGAGGAAACCAGGGACGAAGCTAGGACAGAGGAAGAAGCCATCTAGGCACATGGATACACCTGACAAACGCGGCCTACCCAAAGCCTACGCTGAAGCATCACGTCAGGCCATCCCATCACCGTACTTTGTAGCTAACCCCCACATACTTGTAGCCGAGTCTCCCCCTCTATATAAAAAGAGCTCGCTCCATCTTGTAAAGTGTTGATGTCGCTCCATTTCTCAACAAGTGCAATGATATATATCTCTCTCTCCCTTTTCTTCTAAGTCATTCGTCCTCATTTGCCCGATGCCACTTCGCATTTATTGTTTCTTACTTGTTCTTCACCGTCCAGCTATACTTTGGCCATAAAGAGCCTTATTCAATCGTATTACTGCTTGTTACCCCTTCCCGACTGCCCCCGATAGTTCGAACTCGACCCGAGTTTAGGCCCCGAGGCCTCCATCGATCTACTCTACACCCGGCTAACAGGCCCCATCGGTTTGCGTACTGCCTCGATTTAGTTCGTAATTTATGTATTCTTGACACAAACTGCCTTAACAACTAGATAGATAATAGATCACGTATTTTTAGAGTCCCATTTACAAATTTTATTGTTGTTACCATTTTCACGGTAAACAGACTTGCTTCGCGGACAACGTAAAATCCACCGCATCCACGTTAGTTTAATTCGTGGCCGCGTAATTTGGATGCGGACCGCATTTTTTAGTCAAGCTTAACTTGCAAGGCCTCTGAACATTGAAGCACGCTCTCAGCAAAAATACCATCGTGACCACACCAGATATTCCGCGTCTGCGCTTTTCCATCGCGGTCAGCCATCAATATTGTGCCCAAAACAGCCTCTCTGAATCTCACTTTCGCAGGTCGTGTTTTTGTGGCCGCCTCAGTAGTGGTCCTTACGCGGCCGTTTTTTTCCATCGCGGTCAGCGGTTAGTCCCAATATTGGATTTGTGCAAGTTTTACTCCTTCATGAGTTGATTATGTCTTCTTTGCCTCATTTTGACCAAACCCTGCAAGCAAACACATTAAGTCGGTTTTTAGGAATACTTTTACTCANATTGCCCTCTCTCTCTCCACTAGTCCACCATCAACCACCTTATTGTCTTAGTTTGCATTGCAGGACTAAATAGAGATTTCCTGAAAACCCCAAAATATGTGTCTGTTGCAATTTGAATAATTGCCATATAAAGAGGCTAAATAAAAAGGCTTAAAAATGACTCTAATTAGAGCATGTGAAACGAATCGGAACGGGAAAAATCAAAAGCACGAGGGCTATGAAATAAAAGAATAACTAAAATGGATAAAACAAAACTGTGAAAGCAAACAGATTTGAGCTTAGCGGTTGACACCATGGTTATTGAGCTTTCTACAAAAATACCAAACCTAAAACTTCTAACATACCAATCAAGAGATCTGCAAAATCTTTGAGAATTTTTTGGATTTAGCTATGGATATTTGAGGAGGAACGAGAGTGAGTTGCAGCGATCGGCGTTCGCGATCCGTTTTCTTCAAGATATTTTGAGAATTGGAGGAGATTCAGCTATATCAGTGGAACGACGACGACGACCACTTTTATCGGCCCAAGATTCGTCATCACGACGGAGTTTGAAAGATGGCGCAGCTCGCAGTGGTTGACGACAGAATGTGCGGGGGTTTGTTGATATTGCTCATGTGTGCTCCTGAACCTCCTTGTGTTGGCTGTGTATGAGTTGCAGACGGGACTTCACCGAAAAGCACTGAGGAGGAAACGCCGACGTCAACTGATGAAGGAAGGGCTTTTGGTATCTTTCGATACTATAAAGCCCCATAAATTTCTACCTTAAAAGTTTTATAATTACGGATTTAATAACATAATTAAGGTATTGGAATGGTATAAGGACCTACACGATCTAAACGGGATGCTTGGAACTATACCAATGGACACATAGTAAAAAGTGAAGTACTTTGGAGTTCCTAAAAGAAAGAGAAAAAAAAGAGAAAGAAATTATTGAATGGACCAATTACAAAACAAGTTGAGCCAAACTCAACGTGCCAATAATGTGGTTTCATGTTAAAAACCTAGCGGCAACCAACATATGAACTTTTAACAATTGAATCTTAAGCTAAGGGATTAAAAATAGAGGGTTAGTTCATACGCTGAAAACTAGAAACCAACGAAGTTCTTGGCACTCCTCTCAATCGTCGAATTGTAAGAAACTTTCCTTTATTTTCTACTTTCTTCCTTATTTTCTTTCGTTAATTGTCCATAAGATTATTGGGATGATAAATTGTAGTTGTAAACAAGAGTTAGAGTTTGAGTGGTAAAGTGAGAAATTGGTATGTGATTGTGAGTTGGTAGAGCAGATGTCAAAGAAATCCCTAGTGGACGAAAGATATCCATGTCAAAGCAAAAAGATGGATCTACTGGTGATATTAGAAACTTTATATATCTATTCCACTTTCACGTTCTTGACCAAATACAGCTCTCTCAAGGAAGCAAATTTATCTAACCTTAAGCAATTTAAAGTTTAAAACTTCTAGTTCCTTGTTTACTTTAAGTTTTTATCAACTATGTCCAGAAGAGTTTGATAGTAACTTAGAACTAATTCTAATAACTAAAATGCAATAGTGAATTTTATGATCAAAATTACATAGAAGGATTATCCATTGTCACACCTCCTTTTTACTACCGGAGGGGTATATAAGAGAGTTTTTTTCCAATTAAAGTGACATTATTCGAAATGAGATTATTTTATTTATTTTTTTCAGAGTCGTCACTTGGAATAATTTATGGTGTCCCAAGTCACCGATTTATTTTTAAAATCCCAAATCGAGGAAAATCGACTTTATTTAAAAGTAAGGATCTACGAAACCAGAAATTCTAAGTAAGGAATTCTGTTAGCCCGAGCGAAGGTGTTAGGCATTCCCGAGTTCCGTGGTTCGAGCACAGTCACTTAACTATTAATATTGGCCTAATTATCTGATTAGTTACATGTTTTAAACCTATTGTATATTTTTAACTTTATAACCGCTTTTAATTATTTTTGACCGATTTTAGAATTTATGGAATTATTTGTTGAACAAGTTACGATTTGTCGTGCACTTGCCGTTTCGGGACACACCACAAACCACGCTACATGAAATGCACCCGTGATTCGCGATATGTTTATTTTTATTATTATTCGAAGTTATTATGATCGGGTCACATGAAATGCACACCCGAATTGAGGATTATGTACCATGACTATGCCACGGGAACCTTACTCATATTCACGATAGTTATTTAATCGCGCCTAAAGTAAACTACAATATTTAAAATTAAATTATTTCCTAAGTTTGGGATTTTTGTAAGGCCAAAAGTTTCTTTTATAACGGTTCAATTAGCCAAAAATTGAAAATAAATTAACAATACAAGAAAAGTAAGATTCTAAAAAAAACTATAATACTACAAGACAAGAGAAAGTGAATGGGGTGCATAAAAGTGTGGCTACATTACTGCCTTTGATCACATTTCCCAACTCTCTTTAATTCAATATCCAAAAATGCCTTAGTTTCTGCTCATTAAACGTCTCACCAAATGGAGGAAAACGAAGAACGAGGTATGCTGAAACCAACATGAAAATCACCAGCATGTAGCTTTTAATGTTATATTTGTGAAAGATAGATACTTGATATGGCTATTGCCATCAAAAGCAAGTATATATGTGTAGAGTCATGTAAGAAAAATAACAAAACTTAACACTCTGGCTATTAACACACATAACAAAGTAAAATCTGGAGGAACCAATAATGATGTTCGAGTAAGATAAAATTGCGCTATATTATAGGAAACATGGACAGGAAACTCAAAAGTGATTTATTATCTATTTCTTTCACCCATGTCCTCTACACTGTGGTCAAAAAATAACTCTCAAAGACGTCATTTCCTAATAACAAAAGGGATCTTCCCTGTTTTCTCAATATAGATATAGTGGCAAAGTGCATGTTACTCTTTTGAACCAGCAACGAGCAACAAAAGGGAAAGAACTAAAAAAAATGAAATCTCCAGTACTTTATATAGCTTATTCAAACCAAATTGGGCCAAATTGAAAATGCTAAAACCAGTGAAGATGGACAATAAACATGGCATATTAACAAAACAATTTCGAACTAATCTAAAACAAGACAAATAAATAATAAAATCAGGAAAACGTGATTTCAGACTGGAAATGGAAACTTACGATTGCTAACAAAATTGAATCAATAGGAGTAGTAAATAATTAACTCAATCTCCACTCACTTCAGTGTTCCAACATTCTTCATATCAAATAAAATAGCATAAGTTTCTAAACATTCTTTTACAAAACAAGGTAAACAACAACCAATAATTCCATAAAACAACAAATCTGAGAACCATTTTTATGAAGAACATACCTCATCGCGTGCAAGGTTCAATTTTAGAAGAGAAGAAAGACACATAAAGTTGGAATCGCCATGCTCGAAGATCGGCAACAGAAGAATCAACAAATACAACAACAAACAACACTTTTACCGCTCCAATACCACTCGAAATTCAAGAAAATTGAAGTAAAAGAGCAGAACTTCGAATAGCTTTCAAGTCTTCCTTTGTTTTCTGTTTTGGTTTTGTTTTTGAAACTCTTTTTGAATTTTCAGAGCTAGACTTGTTTTCTTTTCTAAGGGGGTCTCATCTTCAATTTTTTTGAGGATGGAAGAAAATGACCGCCGTTCTTCTTGGAAAGGGGGGGGGGTCTTCTTTTTTGCGGCAATTTGGATGGTTTGACGAAAAGATGAAGAAGAAACAAGGAAGGGGAGGTGCGCTATTGGTTCCTTCAAGTTTCTGGGGTTCTGATTTTTTGTAGTGAAGAAGGGAAAAGCTGCGCTTAGCTGAAGGGGAGGGACTCTGATGCTGTCCTCTAGGGTTAAAGGAATACAGGGGGTTTTAATGAAGGGATTTGGGTCATGGGAATTGGGCTATGGTTTAAAATTAACTTGGGCAATTTTAGGAATTGGCCCAATTTTAAAAGAAACAAGACCAAAAATATATTTTTCGTAATTCTTTTCATTGTTTTTTTGTTTTTTTTCTTTTTCTTTAAAATTCTAAATCAATCTATTTTTATAGAAATTAAATTTTTTTATCTATTAAAACCACTAATTAACTTAAAACTAAAGAAAAATGCTAATTTTAAAGGCTAACATTTAAATATGTAAAAATGACCATTTTTGTGATTTATTTGCTTAGTAAAATTAATTCCTACATGTAAATTGAATCTAAGATGGCATGAAATTAAAATGTAACAATTTTTTTATGATTTTTCTATGATTTTAAAATATTAAAAAAGCATGAAATGCAACTAAATGAAGAAAAGCTTCTAAAATCCATTAAAATTATTTCTGGTCTGTTTTTAGGAGTTATTTTCATGTAGAGCAAAAATTAGGTGCTCACAGCTGCCCCTCTTTGCTCGAAAACATGAAAGAATCTTCGGGCAAAGATAAAGTGAGCAATTACGAGCAATTTTTGCCTGTTTGAAACTCCATGGGAAGCATTTTTTGAAAAAAGTCTGACCGAACCTTGCTTCGGAGGTTGCCTACATATCCTTGGCTATAAAGTAATCAGGTTAGTGTAGTTCTGAAAGTTTTGATAGCTAGGACTACCAAAAAACTATAATTTTACTGCTGTTGCTGCTGTTTCTGTTTGCTGAGCTCCTTATTATACCAAAATCAAAAATGAAAAGCTAAACTAGCTAAGCCTATCAACTACGAGTTACAAGATTCCTATCTATAAACCTTCTAAAGCTTGATCTTGAGTCTTGGCTAGTTCTTCCTGCAGACTCTGTTCCAAATCTTGATGCTCGTTAGCTGCAAACACTAGTTCATTCTTTGTCAGCTTTTCGGATCAAGGTGGGACATGCAAAGCTCGTAACTTCAATCGTATATTGAGCAGTCCACATCTTTTCTCCGCTTCTGCACTTGATGTTCATTTCTTTTCTTGTTCTTTATTTTCTGTTATTCTGGATTGAGACTTCTTCTTTTGGTTATCTCAAACCCTGTGTCTTGAGATATAACCTGCTCAAACACCAAAACAAACAAACGAACGAAATGTTTCTGCTCCAATTTTCACTAGGAAAATTTCGTGAGCTATTGTAACAAAATCTAAACTATTTCTTTATTGAAAGCAATTAAAACCGATATTGTATGTCCCTGAGAAAAGAAATTAGGGAGTGGAGACCCTATATCTACAATCAGATCAACTGGGGATTGGAGGCCCTAAGTTGGGAATATTACCAGATTATGCTAGAAAAATGACCGGGTTATGCCTGAAAGGTCCTTGGGTTATGGTGGGGAAGGTCATTGGGTAATGCCTGAAAGGTCCACGGGTTATGCCGGGAAAGTCATCGGGTTATGCCGGAAAAGGTCCTCGGGTTATGCCAGGGAGGTCCACAGGTTATGCCGGGAAAGTCATCGGGTTATGCCGGAAAAGGTCCTCGGGTTATGCCAGGGAGGTCCACAGGTTATGCCGGGAAATCAACTAGGGAGTGGGATCCTATACTGGAAAAGGCTACCAAGTTATGCTGGCAGCGACTAGGGAATGAGAACCTATGTTGGAAAAATGTAGCTAGAGATTGGAGACCCTATGCTACCATGGTTTTGAATTTTTCTTCTTCTTTTCTTTCCTTTTTTTAATCTCACTTTCCATTTTATTTAGGAGAATGAATGAAGAGTTTGAAAAGGGACTTCCCTTTTTGGATTGTTGTTGCAAAGCTGTTTCTAGCCTTTGCACAGTTTCTTTTGGTTGCACTTGCTTCTTGCAAGGTTGCTTTTATTTTTAAACAAAGAACAATTGTTAGTTTGAAACGGTGGTTGGTTTTGTGGCCTTGAGTGTTTCAGTCACTTGATCTCGGCCCTTTTAACTGTAACTAGTTGTTTCTTNATTTCTTGAATACCGATTGCATTTCTAACCCTGAAGGACCTCTGACTTTTCCAGACTTTACCATGAGGGTTGGTCGGTGGAACTCAACCTTATCGACTTTATTTCGCCTTCGGAGGCACATTGGGGAACTTTTGGCTCCTCAAACTTTGTCGCAACAGCTAGTTGCGTGGGACTTAGCCTTTTCCAACTTTATTTCACTTTCATAGGCCTTTCATTTTTGGCTTCTTTCTTCCAAATTTAGTTTCAGAGCATTTGGGATCCTTGAATTTTTCAAATTTTTGCCAAGACGGTTAGCCATGTGGGACTCAACCTTTTCAAATTCATTTGCCTTTATAGGCACTTCAATTTGATTTTCTCCTTCCAACAGTTTTGATTTAGAAGCATCGACCGCCATGGCCAGTCATGGTCAACTTATGCCCCTGACGAGGCTGGGTGCCTTTTTGCACATTAGCTCGCGTCAAATAAGAACCATGTAAATCAGTCTTGCCACACTTTCTTTGTCTTAGTTTCGGAACAGTGTTAGACCAAAGGGATTCAAAGAAAACAAACATTAGAATGGAGAATGAGTTTAAAACAAGAAGTGTCCCTTTCAAGGAAAGGAAAGAAGGACTTATCTGGAGTACATGCGGACTTCAATGAACATGACATGCCTTTT